GAGGGAAAAAGATAGTAATTTCAGCTTTAGTTCGGGGCATATCTCCTTTGGCATCATAGTTTTTGTTGTTGGACTTATATATATATATGTGTGTGTGTGTGTGTGTGTGTGTGTGTGAAGTTTAAGCTTTGTTGGTAATTCACCTTTGGCAAAAATTACTGATAGTTCCTTTGGTCAGGTGAATTCCTAAGGAAGGAGTGTTTATCATCATCATTTGCATCTCTTTATGTATTTCTCCTTTCATACTCGGAACTTCACTCTGACCTTTAACTAGAACACTCCTTTCATACTCGGAACTTCACTCTGACCTTTAACTAGAACACCTGGAAAGTTTACCCCTGTTACTTCTGTGGGAAATCTTCTCCGGAAGTTTCCTCTGGTGTGAACTTTCGACCCATTTGGGCAAATGTCCTTGGCATTTGGAGTTCTTCATCGACTCCTTCGTCCCTTCAGGGCAAATCTTCTTTGGCATTAGAGTCAAATATCCTTCTCAGGACATTTGACTCACTATCATTTCGAACAATTGGACCGACCGGAAGATACATATTCCACGGTTCGTAACAGAAGAGTATGGTCATATCCTTGGCTGTGTCTTCATTGGGATTGACTATTAACTCGTCTTCCTTGTTACAATATCTGATAAGATAGACTTGGACTGGCATATCTTGGATGCTTCAGTTTGTTCAAGCAGGAGTGAAGTACTGGTATGTTTTTCTTCCATGACTTCACATTATTTTGTTGTCGAATTTGCACGAAGATATTATAGACTAACAACGAACAATTTAGTTGCTGTAATCAAGTGAAACACTTGACAAGTAGTGATATTTCCATTATCGTGCTTCAAACTAAAGCTTCCATACATTTGCAGGTGCGTGGGCTATCTTTTATGATATTTTCTGCCTAGTGTAGATCCTGTTCTTAAAGATACTAAGGTCAGAATCTTGCATGAAATGCTGCTAAATATATTGTTCATGTGTCATTTCATGTCGAACTGAACTTTAGCAAACATCTTCCCGTAGGCAGTGAAAAATGGATATGCTGCTGTCCAATTCTGAGTGGGAAAATTTTAGTGAAAGTGGAATTAGTGATGAACAGGAAGAAATGAACTTTCTGTATGATGCTCAGGCTTCTACCATTCTATCAAGTCTAGAGGAAAGTATCGGAAAAATTGATGACCTCCTCTCGTTTGAGAGGGGTTTTGTTCATGGAGATATTGTGCGCTCCGTAACAGATCCGTCTGGGCAGATGGGTAGAGTAATCAATGTAAATATGCTTGTGGATCTTGAGAACGTTCATGGGAAAATCATAAAAGATATAAATTCGAAACAACTTCTGAAGATACGTTCCATTTCTGTTGGGGATTATGTGGTTAATTCGACTTGGATTGGGAAGGTGGATAAAGTCGTTGACCGTGTCACTTTCGTCTTTGATGATGGATCAAAGTGTGATGCTAGTGTCATGGATCTCGTGAAGCTTGTGCCTGTTTCTCCCAACATAATCGATGACTCACAATATCCATATTATCCAGGACAAAGAGTAAGGGTGGTACCTTCGAATTTCTTTAGTTCAACCAAATGGTTATGTGGTACCTGGAGCGGAAATCAGGATGAGGGGACTGTTTCTAGTGTGGATGCAGGTTACGTCTATGTTACTTGGATTTCCTCTGCTCACATGGATAACGATTGGAGTGCCTCTCCTCCCTCACGTTTGCAGGAGGCGAAAGACTTGACTTTGTTGTCGCCTTTTCCCAATGTGAGTTGGCAGCTCGGTGATTGGTGTATGCTTTCTTTTGCCGACTGCAAGGGAACTTTTGAAGAGTTTCTCCATGCATCAACTCGCGATGTGATTAAAGATATCTGGAAACTGGAAAAAGTGTTTAAAAGAGGAAACCTCGGATCAAGATTGGAGGAAATCTTTGCTATCATTAAGACAAAGACCAAGCTTGATGTTATGTGGCAAGACGGTACCTGCGGTTTGGGATTAGAGTCACATACTTTACTTCCTGTTAGCGTTGCAAATGCGCACGAATTTTGGCCTCGTCAGTTCGTTTTGGAAAAGGGAACCAGTGACAATAATCAAAGATGGGGTGTGGTTCGTGGTGTGAATGCAAAAGAGCGAATGGTTAAGGTACAATGGAGAAACATGGACATGAATGAAGTCAACAATTCCGATACAGTGCAGATGGAGGAAACTGTTTGTGCTTACGAACTTGTGAGCACCCAAACTACTGCTACTGTTTTGGTGATATTGTGTTTAAAGTGGTGCAGAACAATTTTGGTGATCAAGCTGACGATGGTCACGAAACCGCAGAAACTGGTTTCAGCACAGAAGCTACTCCGAAAGGCAAAAACATGAGATGGGATCAGAACAGCTCTCCCTCTTCCTATGGCCTATCCTGTATTGGCACTGTCATTGGATTTGAAGATGGAGAATTGGAGGTGAAATGGGCTTGTGGTATTTCAACAAAGGTTTGAATCTTACCCATCCATTTTCCATGATTCGAGGCATATGCATGCATATCAATTAGTAGTCATAGAATTCATCATTAAACTTTGTCACAGGTTGCACCTTATGAAATTTACCGAATTGATAAGTGTGAAGACTCGGCTACGACTCATGTTCACTATGAAGAAAATACCGAGGATTTTAACCAAGAGATGTTTGTGCACGAAACGCTATCCGATAGCCACAAAGGAAAGGTAAATCCAGCTTTCTCCCTTGTTTTTGTTTATATTTTCGAGCATTTTCTGCCAATCCTCATCTTAAGCTCTCGATAACGACTGTGATTCTATTCTCAGGAGTTGCTGAGTTTTGATAGTGCTCGTGAAAGTGGCGAGAAACTCTCATGGGTGCCGACTTCCTTCTTTAGTCCTCAAGCTGCCGTCAGATTTTTCTCAACCATTGCTTCTAGCATCCTTGGATCCCTTGGTTCCAGATCACCTTTAAGCCAGGAGTCTCTAGTTATATTTCTCATGGTGCTAGAGAATGCGACATTCTTCTTGAAAAAGAAGTGTTGGAAACTTGCTATCGAAATGCCGAGCTCGATCTGATTGAGATGCAGATATTTGAAACAACAAACATAAAGCAGGAAATAGAAGAGATCAAAGAAAACAACGGTAGTATGATGCCGAGACCCAACAAGACTTCAGGCCTCTTTAGGCAGTTTGATATGGTTAGCGAGGGCACCGATCACCATTTTCTCGGTGAAAGCAAGGTGTTGGCTGTGTCTCAGGTTAGAAACATTATTCGACTCCTTTGACATACAATTGAGTAGTTCAAACAGTCGGTGGATCTTTTCTGCTTTTGCACTTGTCTGTGTTTCTAGGTGAAACGAAGTTGGGTAAAGAAGGTTCAGCAAGAATGGAGTATCCTAGAGGAAAACCTTCCCGGTTAGTATTTTATCGTACTCTTTGTAACAATTTATGTGTTGCATGTGACTATTTTTCGTAACACTATTTTGACCTGAGCAGAAACTATCTATGTCCGTGCATACGAAGAAAGGATGGATCTACTCCGAGCAGCCCTTGTCGGTTCCCCTGGAACACCCTACCATGACGGGCTGTTCTTTTTCGACATTTACCTTACTCCGGATTATCCGTATGAACAACCTGTAAGCTCTACTTCCAACCTTGCTACTAATTGCAGCTTTTGGAATGCGAATACAAGCGGTCTCATAAATCATGAAAATGTTATTATCCTTGAACATATCTCATGAAACTCGAACTTTTGCAGTCGGTGTACTACCATTCGGGGGGGCTACGCCTCAATCCCAACCTGTATGAATCAGGGAAGGTTTGCTTAAGCCTTCTAAATACGTGGACAGGTTCAGACACCGAGGTCTGGAATCCCGGAAGCTCTACAATTCTACAAGTTCTTCTGTCCCTCCAGGCTCTTGTGCTTAACGAGAAACCATATTTCAATGAAGCTGGATACGATAAACAGTTAGGGCGAGCTGAGGGGGAGATAAACTCAGTGAGCTACAATGAGAATGCGTTCCTGTTAACCTGCCAGTCCATGCTTTATATTCTCCGCAAGCCACCCAAGGTAAAATCTTGCAATCTAAACATCTTTCGGGCGCCATTTGATGAGTTTGTAAGTATTCTTTAAGAGAATTGATCGGTCCTAAACATCTTTCTGGCTCCATTCGATGTTGTTACAGCATTTCGAGGCACTTGTCAAGGAGCATTTCAGTAAACATGCTGAAACGATCATCTCGGCTTGCAACACATACATGGAAGGTGCACGAGTAGGATATGCTCTTGAATGCAGTGCAAAAGGGCATGACGAACACGTCGGAGGAAGTTCGACCGGGTTCAAAATCATGCTGGCAAAGCTCCTTCCGAAGCTTGTGGAGGCATTTCGGATCAGGGTATCGATTGCAGCCGGTTCCAAGGGCTGAAGTGAATCTGCTATCATACGAATACCATTGTACAATATTCGTCACCGGAATTCGAAACTCGAAAAACGAAATCGAATAATGATTCCTTTAAGGAATCCTCTGTATTCATATCCAGGTGTGATTTGGTTATAGATTGCTATATTTTCCTAAACTATTACAGTCGAAAGTATGACTGCTATAGAAAACTATTGTTTGCAGACAATAAGAATGTGAAATAAGAAGTGATGTTTGAAAAATTCATTCGACAAACTCAAATAAATTGAGTTTGAAATAATTCGGCTAAGATAATTTATAACTAAAATGACGAATGTTATAAAAAATAAATATTAGTAATATAATTCATCAAATATAATTAGAATGATTATTTAAGCATAATTCAATCATCGTTGATGACTTTATCCTTGGAATTGAACCCAAATTTTCAAAAAATTTGCCATTAAATCCTTTATGCTTTATGGTCGTAGATCAAATTAAAACTCCTATATATGTATTCAAACATGGCCTTAAATGGAGATAGCTTTAAATACCCCCACTGATTTTAACACTGTTTCTTCACCGCTCCGAATCTCTTTAAGCTTCGCCATTTCCAAAACCAGTTACGATGAAGCCGCCGGAAACTCATTTTTACCCAAGCAGCCATTCGAAACCCCATAATTTCCATCCCGTTCCCTTCCTCTTCGTCGTCATCGTTTTTCTTCTTCAATTCCCAAAGACAATCTCCTCAATCGCCTCTCAAATACCATTAGAGCACATCCAACACTGCAACGACGTCGTGCCGGCATCAACGGCGGAGCCTAGCGCCTTCTCTTCCAGCCCCTCCTTGTCTCACAACCTCGACTTCAAAATTGGGTATTACTCCGGCGGGGACTCTATTTTCTCCCAACCGAATCCCGCCACCGATGTGCTGAAATCTGCCACGTTTCATGCTCGTTTCTCGCAAGACTACCTCGATAGTAATAAATCACGAATCTATAAAGTGAATGGAAAGCTCGTTTTACAAATTCCCAAATCACTTGTCATTTCTTCTTCTGGTGGCGGTGTATTAAACCCCCACCGTGGATTGCGGCGGACGTTCCGGATCAGGGGACCGAAAATTCCGTCGGTGGTCGACAGAGAGATGCAGAGGTTTTCACTTGGCGGGTTTTGGTCGGAATCGACTGGGAGGCTTTGTATGATTGGATCAGGGATGAGTAACGGCAATGCAGGTAAATTTAGGACCTTTAATGTTGTTCTTAAGCTCAATTATTCCACTAGTTCTAACATTTCCGGTAGTTTAATCTCTGGGGTTCTTCAAAGTTTGGATTCTGAACATAGTTTGAGTTATTTTGAGCCTGTTTCCTTATTGGGTGTGAGGAGCTTTGGGAATTATCAGTTTAGTTTGCTTGATAATGGAAAGGGAAGATCATGTTTAAGTGAAGGAGAGAATTTGGATGTTAGCAAAGCAAATGGAGGACTTTGTTCAGTGATTGTCCACCGAAGGATTAGGTTTGGATTGGAATATGAGAAGGACTGTGATCAAGTTAATTGTAGTTTCATTATTAGAGATGTTAAGGATGCTCCAAGTACCATGTTTTTTCGACAGATGAAGTGTGTGGATGAAGGGAAAATGCTGATTTGTTGGATTTTCGAAACTCGAGTTCTATCAGTGCTTTTTTCCCCTTTGATCCCAACACGACCTTGATCGCTGAGGGGGCATGGGATGAGAAGAAGAATGGTGTCTGCGGTGTTTCTTGTCGAGTTTCAAATTTCAGGGATTCTTTGAATGGAGCATCTGTCGGCGACTGTTCTATTAAGTTTAGCTTGAGATACCCCGAGGTTTTTTCACTGAGGAATAGGGATTCTATTGTGGGGGAAATTTGGAGTGATAAAAGCAAGGATGATCCAAGTTACTTTGATATGATTAGACTCAGGAGTGTTTGGGAAGTATCACCTGGGTTAAAGAATGTTCCTGGTTTAAGATACGAGTATACAGAGGTTGACAGTGCTCGTAGAATTTATGCGAGTAAGAACGTTGCTGAACACAAGGGAAAGACATACCCTATCGGCGATTCAATAGACATGAGGTTTGAAATGATGTTGATAGATAGTAAAGGAGAAGCAGCATGGGGTGTTGCAAACCCGCTGTTTGTGGGTGACCAGCCCTACAAGTATCAACCTTATGGGCTTTTATCAATGTCGACTGTGTCAGCAGCTCATTTGAGCAATAATGACAGCAGGCTATTAAATATCAGCTACGAGATTAGCTACTCGTATCGTTCGAGTGATGGTCGTATTTTGGACAGAGGATTTGTAATTTCTTCTGAGGGAGTATATGATAGGCATTCCGGTGTTCTATGCATGGTTGGATGTAGTCAATTACAAGTAAGATACGAGAATCATAGTTCGATAAAAAACAATTCAATGGATTGTGACATTTTGGTTACTGCTCAATTTTCTCCGTTAAATTCTGCAGAGAAGTATCGTGTTAAGGGGACAATTAAAAGCACACGTTTCAAGTTAGACCCTCTTTATTTTGGACCCATTAGTTTGTCTTCAAAATCATTCTATGCCGGACAGGCGAAAGAATCCATTTGGAGAATGGATCTGGAGATTACCATGGTTCTGATTTCCAATACACTCGCATGTCTTTTTGTTGGATTGCAGCTTTTTCATGTTAAGAAACATCCCGAAGTGCTTCCCTTTATCTCTGTCTTGATGCTCATTGCTCTTACTCTGGGGCATATGATTCCTCTGTTGTTGAACTTTGAGGCCTTGTTCGTACCAAACCATAATCAACAACAAAATGCTTTTCTTCAAAGTGGTGGATGGCTTGAAGTAAACGAAATAATAGTAAGGGCGGTAACAATGGTAGCTTTCCTTTTGCAGTTTCGCCTTCTCCAACTCATGTGGTCTGAACGGCAAAGTGATGAAAGCCTAAAGAGCTTATGGGAGGCTGATAGAAAGGTTTTATACATATCCCTACCTTTATATCTAACCGGTGGGTTGATTGCTTGGTTTGCGCACCTATGGAAAAACACTCACCAGACACCATTTCTACAACCCCATCAGAGACGTCTTCCGTTCAAGAATCATTTCTACCATCAAACTTCTTTTTGGAGTGACCTTAAATCTTATGGCGGTTTGGTCGTAGATGGGTTTTTGCTTCCACAGATAGTGTTCAACATGTTCTCCAATTCGAACAAAACCGCTCTTGCTGCTTCATTTTACTTAGGAACCACCCTGGTCCGGTTGTTGCCTCATGGATACGATCTTTACAGAGCTCACAGTTTTTCAGGATATCTCGATTTATCGTATATATACGCTAACCATAAGATGGATCTCTATTCCACGGCCTGGGATATCATCATACCTTCTGGTGGTCTGCTCTTTTCCATCTTCATTTGCTTGCAGCAGCGATTTGGGGGTCAATGTTTACTACCTAAACGGTTTAGAACGGATGCGGTATATGAAAAAGTGTCTGTAGATAACAGTGAGGAATTGCAAGGGGAATCAGTTCAGAGGAACTTTTATAGCTTGTGATGCTGTAATGGCGGAAACAATATTTTCTTTTTCCAGCATTCAAATTTATTATAAAGTCGTTTCAGTCACCGTGTTCTATACCTATGGGCTCTATATTCTTTTGCTTCCCAGTTCCGGTATGTTAATCTCCAAACTTGTTGAAATCAAAGAGTGATATACTGAAATAAATGTTGAAAGTAATATGTTTTTACACATAAGCCAATTTATTTATATCCTGAAGCTTTGTACTCATTAATGCACGCTTTATATTATACATATGACTTTTAGCTTCCATTGGAACTGGAAGAACATGAAACAGGAGAAAGGGGAGGGAATTGTGGGCTTTAAGCAAACCCAGGAGACAATCTCGAGCAATCCACGATAGTATTAGCCTGAGAATACAATTAGCTGATTTTTAATGTTCCGACAAACATATGTAACTTCGATTTGGAAATATAAGTAATCTACCAGCTTCCCTGGGCCTTTGTTCAACTGGTCAAGAATATGTAACGTATAACATATGTTCGTATGAACTACAAAATGGTCTTGTTTCTCAGTCTCAGCAGCTATTGATTCAAACAGATTCAAGAAAGATACACGTAATCGCTATACATATGAGCAGTCATATTCAAAGACTGGAGCATTGCTTCCCCTCTTTTGTTGAAAACGAATGTGGATAAACTACCATTGTTCACATCAATCGACCTAAACCTGAAACATGAAAAAAGAAACCGTTAAGAACCACAGAAAATCGAGCAAGGACCATTTACGAACAACAGAAAATTGAGCACGGACCATTTACGAACAACGGGTGATATGCAGATTGCGATTTTCCAGTTCAACAAGATGTCTAGAAACACATTGACAAGAAAATGGCATGCCTCTCGGGGGGGAAGCCCTAAAGCTGAGTAGATCAGTGCCCTTAAAATTGACATTTGAGTGACAACCAAGAAGTTTTCTCCTTGATCAATGATGGATCATTCTTACTCATCAATCAGATCAATTTGGCAATGCAGAAGATGGTAAAAGTTACAGGAAAAATGAAAACAGAAGAGAGCATACCGGCGAGAACAAGATTTCCCTCCAAGATTCTCTAGCTGTTGCCCACAGTTTCCGAAGAGGGTAGAAGCCGTTTACGTAGAAATTCGCTGGATCCTCTCTCCATGTTGTGTACTCCTTTGGATATATCACCTTAGCATCCACTGCCTCCAAATTCTGAATATCATTTAGTCTAGTACTAGTAGTTTTTGCATTATTCTAAACCAGAATGAACTAATTAAGTTAACCGGTGTTCGAAACTGACTACACAACGACTTCTACATAGACCAAGTTAGTAATATACTTAGACAAGTTGTGAAACAAGTAAAGAAATGTTAGAAACAGACCATTTTCATGCCTTCAAGGAAAAAAGAGATGGCACTCGTAAGTGAATCAAGGAAAACTAGTGGCTCTTCCCTGCCTTGCCATAACACTTCGGCAGTGGTCTGCATCAAAGAAAGACGGTCCGATATAAAAATGAATCCTGTCCGGCTAACTTTAAACGCCAGTAGTCATACCTTAGCGCGTGTTATCGGACTCGAAAAGCATTGATCAAAGTGCATCTTCGCAAGGGCCTGCCTACACCTTTCAGCTTGCTTTATACCAGCTTCTGTTAGAACAGATAAGTTTGAGCTTCCCAGTAACTCAAAAGATAACTAAGTCAGCAGTTCGGTCATTCATGGGATTCTAATACAAATGGAACTAACTTCTATTTCGCTCTAACTCTTCATTACGCTAAAACTACTCAGATTATAAGCGTGTTTGAGACACATCCAAATCCAAGCAACAGTCTAATTTCATATATATTCAGTTGCTCACAATGAATCAGGCACCAGTGTCGAATACACTAGTTTGATCTTCCTTAAAATTCAATGCTCATCAATCACATTTACAGTCATCTCATTGACATAATGAAGCTCTCATTTATCTCATCCAGGGTAGGAGGCACGTTGTAGGCGGGAGAGGTAATGGCCTTCCAACTTTGATGATTTAGTTACATTTTAAGTTATTGATATCCTTTTTCACATATTAAAGAAATTAAATTCTAAAAAAATTAGTTGTTTAATTTCTCGTAGTTCAATTCCGACTCCGTCCATATCCTCATTGATGCTATATTATTGCAACTATACCCCACCACCCCAACACAAACAAAAACTTGCACAGAAACTAGTTTACAAGGGAGCCAGGGCAACAAACCTGAACTCTACCCTCTTCATTCCAATAGCTGAGGCCATGCCTTAAAAGAGTTACCGTCTTTGGGGACGATAAAGACTCACGGGTAAGTGATACGGTAGCTCTCTCAAAATCATAAGCAGTACCGGTCAAGGAATAATCATTTTCAAGCTTATCTGTAACACCCCACCCCGAATAGTAATCAACTTCAAATTACAAAGAGAGAAGGGACACGGAGAAAGCAGTGAACTTACCAGCAGTTACAGGCCCCCTCTGCACTAGAACTCGAGCATCGAATCCTAGGACTCCAACGACAAAGACTATAGCTTTTACCAGCTAATTTAACATCCTTTTTGGAGGCTATATTTGAGAAGAAAGGGATGGTTAAGGACAAAGCTTCACAAACCATCTTGCACGAACTATCTATGCATTTGGCGTTTATGGACAGTTGCTTGTGGGTTTCGGAGGATGTTAAAAGCTTGATGAAGACGTAGAAAAGAGTTTCTATGATTAAATATCTGATTATTAGGAGTTTGGGCACTGTAATCTAACTTTGGGTGGTGGTGGTTTGTTTAAAATGGAACGGAAGATTCGGTTTATATACCATTTCACGTAGATTCGGTTTTGATTTGATAGGATGAATTATAAAAAAAAAAACTCTTAGAATCAGATTTAGGAAAAATTCGTCTCATTTTATGATAATTTTATTAAAAATTATACATTAATATATTATTTATTACATTTTAATAACATATTTTTCATTTTAATAAAATATTTTTATTAAATAAATATTAAATCGAGTCGGATAAAATTATAATTAAATTTACACGAACCAACTTATCTTAACGGTTAAAGAAATCATTATCAAATGATTGGGATTATTTAGAACATATACTACTTTGTAATCAACTTAGTTTGATAAAAAAATATAATTAAATTTTTGGATCAAGTTTAAAATAAATAAAAATATCTTTAAGTGTGAATTTAGTCTTGTTCGTCTAGCTCAATTGGTAGAGCACAAGGCTCTTAATCTTGTGGTCGTGAGATCGAGTCTCACTGAGGGCAATTCATAACGGAGGTCTTCAACGGAAGCTGCTCAACCCACTACCCTACCTCCCCTTACCCCATTACATATGAGAATAGGGTCAGCTAATATTTTTTTAAGTGTGAATTTAATCAAAATCAATTTTTATTGTAGTATTTGATTCATATTTAGGACGATCAAAAACTTACCTCTTCGTATCTCGATTCTAAACTCATGATTTGATCCACTCAAATTAAAACTCAGCAAAATTCTTCACAAGCACTTTATTATATGTTACTCATAGTATTTTCAAAAATAAGGTTGACCCATATCTCAAAATCCGAGTAATTTGATTTAAGACTGATTCAAATCCAAAACTATCCCGAAATCCAAATGAGCCGTATCTCAAAATCTAATTGGCATTTCTATTTGAACAATGGAATTTTGAAGTGGGCTTGCCATGACATCAAACATTGCATTAAGAAACGATCCCTCCCCCCGAGTCCCATATCCCATGCTTTAATTAAACTCTACCGGTACCTGGCTAACCTCTCGATCCTTTTGACTACATTTATTTATCTATATGTTTACAAACACTAATGCTGATACTATATTGCAGATAATAGCAAGACCGTGTGTCATCAACTCTAGCGGTACCACTAGCAAAATGATCGAAGTCAAAGAATTTTCACCGATTGGCATTTGCAACTATAATTGCTAAAGTAGAAAATGCATGCAAGTTTTGGTTTCTGTAAAGCATAAACGAGACATTTTCCCAGTGAGACATTTTGTAACTTTTAATAGTCGATGACTCAACAAAGCAACAATCTATAGTCAAATGACCATTTTGTAACTTTTAATAGTCAAGGGACTTAATAAAGTAGTATTATATAGTTGGGGACCATTTGTGTTCTTTACCCATAATTTTAAGGGTAAACTACATTAGATACCATCAAATTTAAGTGTTGTATCGTTTATACCATTGAATTTTCAATTCTACCAATTATAGCACTGAACTTTGATTTTCATTTCAATTATATCAGTGAATCGTTAAACCGTTAACGACATAATGATGTGACTGACGGCTGTCGACATGGCTAATGACTATCGACATAGACACCTCACCTAAACGATGTTGTTTTGATCCAACTGTTAACGATTTAATGGCATAGTGATATAATTGAAACGACAATCAAAGTTCAGTGTTATACATAGCAAAATTGAAAATTCAATAGCATAAACGATACAACGCCTAAAGTTCGATGGTATCTGATGTAGTTTACCTATAATTTTAAGAGAAAATAACCTCAGTGACCGAAAATGCCTTGTAATATACGATTTTGACCAACTTTTTTTGGATTTTCCAAAATGACCAAGTAAATCGCAATGCGATCGATAATTCGCAACGCGATCTCCGGTATCGCAAATCAGTTTCCAGATTCGCAACGCGATAGTCGAAGTTCGCATTGCGATTTATTCCAAATTCGTTGCGATAGGCGAAGTTCGCGTTGCGATTCATTCCAAATCGTTGCAATAGTCGAAGTTCACGTTGCGATTCATTCCAAATCGTTGCGATTCATTCCAATTCGTTGCGATAGGCGAAGTTCGCGTTGCGATTCATTCCAATTCGTTGCGATAGGCGAAGTTCGCGTTGCGATTCATTCCAAATTCATTGCGATAGTCCAAATATTGCATTTGTTTCTTAAGAATTTTCTCTAAAAAGATAGAATTCGCGCGGACGTGTCGAAGACACGTATTACCACGACCACGACCCGAGACGGGACGGCGGCGGCGGCACGTGAGAGTCTCCCTTGTTCTCTATCACTCAACAAGGAAGTGGGAAAGCCAAGCCTTAAATACCATTCCCAATAGTGTTTCCAATACTATGTGGGATTGAGCATTATCAACACTTGTTTCCAAGTGTTTGGTCATCATCTACTCTTTGCAAGTAAGTCATTTGAACACTATAAGAACCCGAATCAGAGTTAGTTTTAGCAATTACTTCATTTATGATAGTATTGGAAACAAGTGTTGGTAATGCTCAATCCCACATAGTATTGGAAATACTATTGGGAATGGTATTTAAGGCTTGGCTTTCCCACTTCCTTGTTGAGTGATAGAGAACAAGGAGGACTCTCGCGCGCCGCCGCCGCCGTCGTGGTCGTGGTCATACGTGTCTTCGACACGTCCGCCAAAAATTAAATTGATTATTGTGCTTTTTTTTCTTTAATTTTAAAAGCTGCATGTGGAGATAATTGGGGAACAAAACAATGCAATGTTTTAGGTTTATATAAACTTCCGACTGCTGCTACATGATTATGATCCCAAAAGTGGTGGATGCTTATCATAAGGATAAAATTATAAAGTACGCCAAATGATTATAAATTGTATTTTTCCTGTATTTTATTCTAAAGTGGTTTTGGTTATTTTAAAAATGAAATAAATATTTAGTAGCACCCATGTGATACTCTCTCTCAAAATTGATGCAATCACGTTAAGGGTTGAGTTATTTTTAATTTTACTATATTAAATAAGTATTTTTTTAATCTGAATATGAAGTTATACTATAATTATAAAATTGGATTTTAATTAATTCAAGTTTAAAAAAAATCACTTTCAAGAATTTAAATAAAAAATTTAATTAAAATTCTAACTTCTATATAACTTAATAAAATTTAATATATTTTTTATAAGATTATTATATCATAGCTAAAAAAATATAAAATATTATATTAGTAACTATATTTATTTTTCAATGATAAATGATTAAAATGAAACAAAAATGTAGTATAAGATATGGTTTAAAAAATAGTTAGATGATTAAAATAGAACCACGAGAATATGTGAATGACTAAATACATAGTTTAATCAATTTAATATATTTTTTACAATAATTTAAAATTTTAAAAATAAAATATTTAATATAATAAAAATATTTATAAAATTAAGAGTTGATTACATTGCATATCCCTAAATTATAACCATAATTTCAAATTAGTCTTTAAACTTTAAAATGTTTTAATTTCATTCCTAAATTATAACTATCATTCTAAATTTTTCCTCAAGCTTTTGAATATTTCAATTTTATCCCAAACTATATGTATATACTAATCATTTCTCTTGACAATAAAATCGCTAGGCCAAATTATATTATTATATGTTTGAAAATAACAAAATTTAGGTTAAACTATGGTTAAAAACAATTATATATTTGGATATTTTGGGGATGACATTGGAAGATTCAAAAGTTTAAGGACTAATTTAAAATGAGAGTCATAGTTTGGGGATGAAATTAGAATATTCAAAAGTTTAAAGACTAATTTAGAATGAGAGTCATAGCTTGGGGATTAAATTAAAATATTCAAAAGTATATAAATTAATGCAATTAACTCTTTTTTTTTTTGGTTAACAACATATCAAATAATAAATCATAAAATAGATTAAACAGATATGTATATGCTGCACTGTTTATCAACCATGGAACGGTATTCTGCTATTAAATGGGCATCTTCGATAGACGCGCGCTCTAATTCCATTGCCAGATCCCTTTCTCCTTTACCCTTTTTTTCCCATATGAAAACAGCCGTTGAATTGCGGGCTTAGTGGATTCTTTCTCCTATAATTCGCCTTCTTTTATATTTTTTGTCTCTCTTTGTAAACGACATAAACAAACTCAAAAGTTTGTCGAATTTCCAGCTCTTTGATTTGGTAAGTTATAGGTTATTGATTCTATTTTGTTCATTAATTTTCTTTTGGATTGATATCAATATCGCTCTCCTTAGATCGAATAAGCTTGGTTTTTTTTTTTTTAAATTGAAATTGCCTCTTTTATAATTATCGGGAAATGTTTCCTTCCGATTCCCATGGATTTCTTTTTGACAAACAAGTTAGAACTTTACCCTTTGGTTTGTATTCGAGAAATTGAAGAAATTAAAGAAATCCAATGATGCAGAAATAAGAATCAATGGATTAATTGCTCTCGAATGCTAGTTTATGATTGAGCAACTTTGGTTAAAAAAATCATGCTCCGATAAGGAAATTAAAATCTTGGTGTTGTAGTTTTCGAATATGCTCTTGGAACTTAATCAATTGATTTCTTTTTAGAATAAGAAAAAAATATCGAATTTGTGTCGGTCATGCCCCATTGACGACGAGGGGGACGGTGTCGGTGGTGGATTCGTGGTTAATAGTTTGATGTGTTTCAAGGTTTCATGTTTCACGCAATTTTGACCTAAAGAAGTAGAACATAGTAAAACGCAGTCTGCTGTTTTGTGCTTCATATGAATCATTGTGTCTGGGACAGACCCGTAAATTTCATGTTAGATGGGCTACCTTATAAACTTTTAGAACAGAAAACAAATTATTAATAAAAAAATACAAAGAAAATATCTAAACTCCTCTGTCCATCCTTGATTGTTTCTCTTCTCAAATGGATGAGTGTTTTTTGTTATCTCAACTCCCAGGGAGTTTTGGGCCAAAATGGTATTTGGATTTACAGCTAGTGGGAGTTGCAGCAACTTGCAATAAGGTTACAGGGAAACCCTGAATTGGAAAACTAGGTGTTGAAATCGTTCGGTTTACGAACACCAGAGCCCGGAGTTACCGTGGGAAATATTTTTTTTTTGGCTACCGGGACTCGGGGGTAAGTGATGGGTATATGTATATGTCACGGACCACGAGCCCACAACCGAGGTTAGCCCATGAAGAGCAGCCCAAGTGGTGTTTTGGACCTTCTAGAAGCCACAAAGACTTAGGTGGCATTTAAATATGTATAGATAATGCCCACTTGTTTTTGGTAGGTAAAGATTAATCTCGACCGTCGATGTAATTAGATCTTAGCCGTTCATTGAGGGGAGCTTTAGCTATAAATAGAGGCCTCCCCTCCTCATTTGTACTCACTCCTTCACTTTGAGAAATCATAAGAGCATTCTTCTCTCAAAGCTTTCTTATCTTTCTTCTTGTGCTAGTTCTCTTGTCTAGCTTCCGTCGAGGTTCTAAGCATCCTTGCTTAGGATATTTTCAGGCTTACTTAGCCGCGATCACTAAGAAAGCGACTAAGGCCGCACGTTCCGAGGCGTCGAAGTTCTAAGGGCGTGACAAGTGGTATCAGAGCTAGTTTTACAAGAGATGGCACAACACAACCAAGACGAGGTCCCCACAAGCGAAGTGATGGAGACTCGCGCTGCAGTGGCAAAGAAACGAGGGAGCTCGAAGGATATCGTGGCCTCGTTTGAGCAAAGGGTCGGTAGATTAGAAGACCGATATAATGAAGTTCAAGAGACTCAAGACTCAGTTGAATCTCGCTTAGAGAAGGTGGAGTCCGTAGAGGATATACTCCGTGAAGAAACTCAAGCACTCATCAGCGAATTGACGGATAACGTAGACGACCGTACCAGAGGCCTCGAGAGCATGTACTTGGCCATGAGGGCCGAAATAATGCAGGAGGTAAAGGAGCTCAAGAGCGAGCTGCTTGTCTACAAGGCTGCCGTGCTGAATGGAGTGACTGGGGAAGCGCAAGCACCAAGACCCAGGATCGACATCCCTAAGCCGAAGGAGTTCAAAGGGAGTCGGACTGCCCAAGATGTGGAGAATTTCATCTGGGGCATGGAGCAATTCTTCCGTGGCATGGGTATCGGGGATGATACCACCAAGGTAAATGTTGCTTCCAATTATCTTACCGATGTTGTTATGTTATGGTGGCGTCGTAGGTGTTCCGAGATTACAAAACCAGTCGGGACGTGGGAGGAGTTCGTGGGAGAACTCAAGGAGCATTTCTATCCGAAGAATGCTGTGCTCGAGGCTCGAGCAAAATTGAAACAATTAAAGCATGACCGATCCATCTTGGAGTATGTCAAAAACTTCACAGAGATCAAGATGCAAATCCCAGACTTGGGCGAGTCCGAAGGTTACTTTGCATTTATGGATGGACTACAACGTTGGGCCAACATGGAGATCCAAAGGAGGGGAGTGACCGAACTCTCCAAGGCATTAGATGCAGCCGAGGCTATTGCCCCGTTTGAAGTAAAAAGGACCGACTCTCTCCAATCCAGGTCGAAACCCAAAGGTAATAGTGGGGGAGAAAAGGCCAAAGGAAACTCTCACAAGCCAACGGGAAATCATGGGAAGCCGAATGATCGACCCAAAAAGCTCTTCAATCCTTGGGAGAAAAAGGGGGAATTATCATGCTTTTCTTGTGGAGGAAATCATATGAAACGAGATTGTCCTCAACTTGTGAAAGTCGCTGCCATCAAGGAGAATGATGGGGTGGAGAGTGAGACTCTCAAACTTGGCTCCATCCTTAGCACCATGGAGGTCAAGAAAGGCCGCAAGAAGAAGGGATTGATGTACGTAGACATCACCGTCGCAGGCCAAAAGATGAGCGCACTGGTGGACACAGGTGCCTCAGAATTGTTCATGTCCGAACAAATTGCCAAGAGACTTGGCCTTCATGTGGAGAAGGCAACGGGATCCATCAAAACCGTGAATGCCGAGGAAGTTCCAATTGCGGGGGTCGCAAAGGGAATCGAGCTAACCGTCGGAGGTTGGTCCGGAAAGGAAACCATCAAGGTAATTCCTCTCGATGACTTCGATTTTGTTCTTGGGTTAAGTTTTTTGGACCGAATAAATGCTTTCCCAGTGCCTTTTGCCGATTGCTTGTGCATCCTGGATCCAAAGCAACAATGCATTGTTCCAGTGAGCCGAGGGCCTGGAATCGAGGCCAAGATGTTGTCCGCAATCCAGTTCTCAAAAGGGGTGCGCAAGGAGGAACCCACCTTTGTGGCTTCATTGGTGGAAACTGAACCCACAATGACCGAGGAAGTCCCAAGAGAAGTGGGACAAGTATTGGCGGAATTCAAAGATGTGATGCCTGCTGAGTTACCCAAGAAGTTACCTCCAAAGAGGGAGGTGGATCACAAGATTGAATTAGTGGAGAATGCAAAGCCACCTGCTCGGGCCCCTTATCGAATGGCTCCACCCGAGTTAGAGGAGATGCGTAAACAATTGAAGGATCTCCTCGATGCCGGATACATCCGACCATCCAAGTCCCCCTATGGTGCACCGGTGCTATTTCAAAAGAAGCACGATGGTTCTCTACGGATGTGCATAGATTACCGAGCTTTAAACAAGCTCACGGTAAAGAACAAGTATCCCATTCCCCTCATTGCGGACTTGTTCGATCAACTTGGTGGTGCAAGGTGGTTCACCAAGCTAGATTTACGATCAGGCTATTACCAAGTCAGGATAGCCGAAGGAGATGAACCGAAGACAGCTTGTGTGACCAGGTACGGTTCTTACGAATACCTTGTGATGCCATTTGGCCTCACGAATGCTCCGGCCACCTTCTGCACATTGATGAACAAGGTACTACAACCCTTTCTAGATCATTTCGTTGTAGTTTACCTTGACGATATTGTGGTGTACAGTAAGACCTTAGAGGAACACATCGAACATCTGAGAAGAGTGTTCCAAGTCTTACGAGATAACGAGCTCTATGTTAAAGAGGAAAAGTGCTCGTTCGCTCAGAAGGAGGTTCCATTCCTAGGCCATGTCGTTGGAGGAGGCAAGCTCCAGATGGACAAAGACAAGATCCGAGCGATTGATGAGTGGAAGCCACCCACCAAGGTAACTGAATTACGAGCATTCTTGGGGTTAGCCAACTACTACCGACGGTTCGTGAAGGGCTATTCCAAGATCGCAACACCTTTGACTGAGCTACTCAAGAAGGACAAGGTGTGGGAATGGAGCACGAAATGTCAAGATGCTTTTAAAAAGCTCAAGGAGGCCATGGTGAATGAGCCCGTGTTGGTGTTGCCAGACTACACCAAGCCTTTTGTAGTCTTCACTGATGCATCCGATGTTGCCATTGGTGGAGTCCTCATGCAAGAGGGACATCCGGTTGCATACGAGAGCCGGAAGCTCAACGAGACCGAGAAGAGGTACTCGGTTCATGAAAAGGAGATGACAGCAGTTGTACACTGCTTACGCACATGGCGACATTACTTGCTTGGGTCCAAGTTCGTGGTGTTCACGGACAATGTTGCCAACAGTTACTTCCTCACCCAAAAGAAGCTTTCTCCCAAGCAAGCTCGTTGGCAAGAGTTTCTTGCCGAGTTTGACTTTTCCTTGGAGTACAAGCCCGGGAAGGTGAACTGTGTTGCAGATGGCTTAAGCCGGAGGTATGCCATCGAGACTGTGGAAGGTACTCTCCTCGAGAGAATCAAGGAAGGATTACCCCATGATCCTGTGGCTGAACGAATCATCGAGGGAGCCAAGGAGGGGCGAACCCGAGAGTTTGGCTCGAAGGGGAATTGCTGTACCACCGAGGCCATCGTCTCTTTGTGCCTCGATATGGGAAGTTACGCAAGGAGCTCATAAAGGAATGCCATGATTCCAAGTGGGCGGGACACCCGGGAGTTGATCGGACTATGGCCCTACTTTCGGAGCAATACTATTGGCCGCATATGGCTGAAGATGTGCAGGCCTATGTGAAGACTTGTCTTGTATGCCAACAAGACAAGATTGAGGCAAAGAAACCGGCGGGACTGCTGCAACCATTGCCCATTCCGGAACGCCCATGGGAAAGTATTTCCATGGATTTTATAATTGGTTTGCCCAAAACTGATGGACTTTCAAGTATCATGGTTGTGGTTGACAGGTTTTCGAAGTATGCGACGTTCATACCTGCATCTAAGGTGTGTCCAGCTGTAGAAGCCGCTCGACTTTTCCTTAAGCACGTGGTGAAGTACTGGGGAATGCCGAAAACCATCATTAGTGACCGGGACACACGGTTCACTGGGAGGTTCTGGACGGAGTTGTTCAAACTAATGGGATCGAGCTTGAACTTTTCCACCGCAGTTCATCCACAAACCGATGGGCAAACTGAGCGAGTGAATGCTCTGTTAGAGATCTATTTGAGGCACTATGTGAGTGCCAACCAACGAGACTGGCCAAAGCTGTTGGATGTGGCCCAATTTTCCTACAACTTGCAACGGAGCGAGGCGACAAACCAAAGTCCGTTCGAGATCGTGACTGGGCAACAACCATTGACACCCAACACGGTTGTTACCAAATATGAGGGGCCCAATCCATCAGCACACAACGTTACCAAGGAGTGGCACGAGCAACATGACTTAGCCCGAGCTTGTTTGAACAAGGCAGGAAAACGAACCAAGAAGTGGGCTGACCGAAAGCGGAGGGACGTGAACTTTGAGGTTGGCGACCTTGTCCTTGCAAAATTGGCCAACGTTTTGCGCCATGCGGACGTGCACAAGGGGCTTGTTCGAAGATACGAGGGTCCCTTTCGAGTCGTGAAGCGAGTAGGCACCATGGCCTACAAATTGGAGTTGCCTCCAACCATTCGAGCGTATCCCGTCATCCATGTTAGCCTGCTCAAACCATACCATCAGGATACCGAGGATCCAGATCGAGGCAAGTCACACCGAGCGCCAGTCGGAGTAGCGATCTCCTATGACAAGGAGATCCAAGATATACAGGCGGAGAGAGTTATTAGACGGCCAGGACACCGCCCAAGGCATGAATACTTCGTTTTGTGGAAGGGACAACCCGAGTGCGAAGGGAGTTGGGAGCATGCCGAGGGACTCTGGCAATTCAAAACCGGAATAGATCAATTTCATGCCAGACGAGTGACGAGGGCGTCACCAGAACGAGTGGGGGAGAATGTCACGGACCACGAGCCCACAACCGAGGTTAGCCCATGAAGAGCAGCCAAGTGGTGTTTTGGACCTTCTAGAAGCCACAAAGACTTAGGTGGCATTTAAATATGTATAGATAATGCCCACTTGTTTTTGGTAGGTAAAGATTAATCTCGACCGTCGATGTAATTAGATCTTAGCCGTTCATTGAGGGGAGCTTTAGCTATAAATAGAGGCCTCCCCCTCCTCATTTGTACTCACTCCTTCACTTTGAGAAATCATAAGAGCATTCTTCTCTCAAAGCTTTCTTATCTTTCTTCTTGTGCTAGTTCTCTTGTCTAGCTTCCGTCGAGGTTCTAAGCATCCTTGCTTAGGATATTTTCAGGCTTACTTAGCCGCGATCACTAAGAAAGCGACTAAGGCCGCACGTTCCGAGGCGTCGAAGTTCTAAGGGCGTGACATATATATCTATATTCATGTTTGAATATGCGTCGACTAATGTTGTTTTTACCTGGGGAACTGATTGGGTTTTTGTTGAAAACTGTAACTTTTTCTCATAAACCACTCTTTCAAGCTAGTTACTATTCCCTATAGGTGTTTTGAGATGCATGAATGTAATTTGTGGTCCCCTAAATTTGCCTTGCCTTTTCTTCTTATCCATTTGGTAGAAAATGTGAATCAAGCTGTGCGTTGCTACCTAATCTGTTTGGTGCTTATCATAATTTTGGCCCCTCACATATTTCCTGCATATACAGCTGCTACCTGATTGCAGGTCTTTTGTACTATTACATCATAGTTATTGTCTTTTTTTCTCTTTCTTTTCTCTAGATTTGTTGCTTTGCTCTGTGTCTAGTTGCTTGATTGCTGATCCTGAGTGTCCTAGTTGTTAAATATGAGTTTCATTTTTTTGAACAGATCCATGGATTTTGAGCAATATTATGCTCAGAAATGGAGGGCCATCCCCGGTGCTTCAAGAACCGAGAATTTGAGTGGTAACTTTGACTGCAATATCTGCTTAGACTTCGCACACGAACCAATTGTCACACTCTGCGGTCACCTCTACTGCTGGCCCTGCATCTATAAGTGGCTTCATGTCCAGAGTGCCTCCCTTGATCAAGACGAGCACCCACAGTGTCCGGTTTGCAAAGCTGATATATCCCACACCACCATGGTTCCCCTTTACGGTCGTGGCCAATCTGAATCCGAGTTTCAAGGCAAGGCACTTTATGGGGGTATGGTGATACCCCCTAGACCTCCGGCTTACGGCACGCAGCCTTTTCTATCGCCTACATCCCCAAACGGTCAGCAGCTTCCTTATCGCAACCCTTATCAAAATCAAAACTACAACCCCCATGCTTACTATGAAGATGATCCATCATCACCGTTGCTTAACGTCGGGGGCGCATTCCATCATCCCCTTGTTGGGATGTTTGGAGATATGGTATATGCAAGGGTGTTCGGAAACTCGGAAAGCATATACGCGTATCCAAACTCACATCTGGTAACGGCAAGTAGTAGCACCCCCAGGTTGAGAAGACATGAGATGCAGGCTGACAGGTCACTGAACAGAATTTCAATCTTCCTCTTCTGTTGTTTCCTTTTGTGTCTGATCGTATTTTGAGCTTCTTATGTGCCACTTCTGTTTTTGTATAAATTGTAAAGAATCAAGATGTAAGCTTGTGGTATAGCGGCTTAGGTAAATGAGATCATACTGTATTGATATGATATCAGAGTTTATCTGAAAATTGTCATTATTTTACAACTGCGTCTACCGGCCGATGGTGTAATTAGAGAGCAAAGGGTGTTTAGGTGACTTGAGCCCTCGTCAATTACATCATTCGGTCATTCAATTCTCACCAACTCTGCAATTCAATCCCCACTACCGCCAAGCTCTTAATTGAGTCATAATGTGGTGTCTTGAAGTTGGAAGGTAAATAACCGCAAGTGTTTTACACCCTATAAGATCATCAAATTGTAACCTCTCCCTTCAATGCACTCCTCGACAACTGTTATAGGGATATGGTGATAAAATATCAATCATTTCGCGGGGAGTTGAGTAACGATAAGCACCCGATGCCCTACATAAAATCTACTGTATTCCACAATAATATTATTTTGAGAATATCATAATTAATTGTTGAATGTTACAACTAGCCGTATAATGGAGAGATCCATTAACAAAAATAATTTAAATTCAAAATGACTAGAGTTTAAAACTATTCAAATTAATAATAATATTGATATGAAAAAAATTAAACTTTCACTTAAATTTTAATTAATCATATATAAAATTAACTTAAATTCAATATGATCTAAATTAAAAAAAAAAATTAACTCGATTCAAAATGTGATGGAGCCAATAAACATGTACATGTGAAATATATCTATTACATGCCGACAAGTGAAACTCGTGATTAACTCATTTGATGAAAATGTGGTAATGAGGGGGAAATGAACTCAGGGTCACAGCCTTAATGAGCCCCAAAAACAGGTGTGGTCTCAAGTTTTTGTCGGCAAGGATCAGTGAGGACACGTGTGTAGAGCCAGACACATCAATGACTTGCTAAAACAGTAAGGCAAGGCTCAATATGTATGGAGTATGGACCACTTCTTAAGGGTCCCGGCGAGTACGTTAGTCTGAGGATCGGTCCACGTATCAGAATTGCAGCAACACTATGGGCTTGAACCGACTTCATTGATCTTAGAAGCCCAATTGTCGACAACAATATGAACAAAGGCTTAACATTATCTGAAATTGCAAAAACCCAAGTTGGACAAAATCATTAAGGAGCTAATTACTTACTTGATGGGGGAAAAAGCAAACCCAAATCCCTGAATGCGCTTCACTTGGACACCCACTTAACCAAAAACAATGATTATTGATTCAGCAGCAAGCAAAGCATGTGCTTAGTGAATAAGCCACATCCTCCTTTTCTTTGTAACTAATCCATATTATATCCCATCTATCCATATATAAAGTTTTCACATATAACTACCGTAACTTTAACTGACTCACATACGAAAATGTACACGTTGTCGTATTCTAATACTGTAGCCATTGCCTGTTTTATTGGATAAATGAAAGTCAAAATTAATCCAATAAATAAAATAATAACATATAACAAGAAATTCAGCAGTAATACTAATATATATATATATATATATAAAGGAAAAAGTGTAAAGAAAAGGAATTCGGCTAAATTATTGAAAAGAAGGAAGTGGGTTGCTTGATTCACGGTAGTGCAATCTTTTTTTTAACGCTATAGGCAAAAACCTAACCCTCTATTTAACAGTCAATCAAGTGTGCCGCCTACTCTAATCCCATTACTCTTTTTTTTAGATCTTATTTTTTCTAAGGATGAGTATATATTTCAATTTCAACAGAATATGTTAGAAAAATCGCACGCATTATGAAATTAGAGATAATAACGAGTTTATTGTCTTAAGATTATTGATCGAAGTAATAATCTGAGATAAAATTAAACCTGAGAAAATCAAATAAAAAAGTTAAACTTCATAAAATAAATCAAAATTAAATAGAAGTAAAAATACTCTTTTATTTTGATTAGTTGATATCAGAATCAGTTGAGGTCTGTCACTACACGACTTCCTTAAGATAGATTTTCGGTCATTCCTTTAGTACTCAAGTTCGTTAATCGTCTATCTCTCGGGATACAATAACTTATGATCAACTATAGTAGCACATCCAAGGGCGGAGCTCCC